ATGTGAAAACACCCAACGCACAGACCCACCAAGGTACCGGTTTTTCAGCCATTCAGACCGCTATGGGCGGCACTAAAACTGCATCTCGTTCTCTTCTCCTCGCATGCACGAGGGAAAGCTCCTGCTTCACCAAGGCCGTCTTTAGTACAATGGGGTGTAGCCTTTTCACTACGAAGGACCACTTTTTATTCAAATTTCATTTCTCACGGACCTCGGGCTTTCTGAACAAGTTTTTTTCATTTTCATCTCTCATTTGAAAGATTTAAAATAATTTAAAATGCAATTAATTAGAACAAACAAATCAAAGATATAAGGATGCTACTGACATTTTGAACGCTAGGAATCCAGTCTTAACATTTCTCTTTACGATAGACTATTCTCCTCTGTGTTATAAGAACTTTTTGTGTGATTTCTGTCATTCTGCATTTTTATGTTACATATCATAATTGTCATTGTCACCATCAACATCGATCTTCCTTATCTTCCTCCTCCTCCTCATCATCATCATTTTCTATCCTTCTCCCCTCCTCTTCATCATTATTATGTCATAATCGCTATTGTAACCATAATCGTGGTTATTATGGTAAGATAATATGGGTACTACTATTGACAACTCCCATGATCTTTATTACTAGTATAATTAATATCATAATTGTTATTTGTGTTATCTCAGGATATCTAAATTATTATTATTGTATTCATTCAATTGGTGATTATTAAAGTAATCTTTAATTCCTGTTTGATTGTCTACTACCTTTCGCATTATGTTCAGTGCTATTATGAATAGTTTTGCTCTTTGTAAGCTTTATCCCAAATCTGAATATAGTTATAAATCCTAATATCTTTTGTCCCTTTAAAATAAAATATCCATTATCTGCAGGGGGGGCAGGGGGCCATTATACAAAAACGAAAAGAAAACCTGTGTAGGATATTCACAGCACCACGACGGTGATCATTATAAAGAGTCTGGTGAGAAGACAAATGAATCAATATATTACAGTGAAATAAATCCCAAAAATATGTGATTCATATCCATCTTTGGTCTAATATCTAGCTTTGATATCTTGGTTTCGTTCCAGATTTTGATTTCCGTCATTGCACTTACGGCTTCCCTGCCCAATGGCTACGATTTGTCGAGAGCCACGAGAAGGAAGCTTTTCTCATGGAGCCTTTGGTACTTCGAGAGCAGCAGTCAGTCAAGGAGCTTCATTGCGGATAGCCTATTCCAGTTCCGGATCGACCGTTCGTCGAGGAACTTCGTCGGGAGCTTCCTTTGGTCGCTGAAATGGATCCGGAGCGGCAGCCAACGCGTGGTCATTCCTCCACCCCGACAGAATCACGTGGTTTACATCCTGAACAAGCGAAGGAGTGAAGGGCCAGGGGTGATCGAAGTACCCTCAACCGGCCCTTCAACACCTGAGGTTTACTTCGTCAACTACGCCGAAGGAGAGAACCCAACCCTTCCAGGCGGGGTGAGCCTCCAATCGACTCCTCAAGCGGCAATTCAAGGTGCAGCTCAAACTGTTGGTTCAACAGGACAGGCCATTTCCGTAAGTGGACAGACTGTAGCTTCGACAGGTCATTCTGGTTCCTCTGTTGGCCAGGCCTTTGTTTCAAGGTTTCATCCGGGTCCTTTGGCGGTCAAGTGGCCGGGTTAAGAGGACTCTCTGGCTCTTTTGTTGGGCAGGCGATTGGCAAAGAAGTAACTGATGCGTTTTGATTATAACTTCGTTAAGTTTACTTAATGAAGTTTTAGTCGAGATGCGTCAATTACATTTCTCGTCGTGTGAAGTTAGTAATTATCATTTACACCTTTTTTTGAGTCAAATTTTATTTCTTTCTTCCTCTAGATTAAATCCTATTATAGGAAGAAGTTTTACACTATGTATGGATATTTAAAATGTTAATACGAAGTCACTGACAATTTACGGCAGGGTATTGTCGTACTGCAAGATATACGTGACCTGTTTTTTTTTTTCCATTTTATCTATTTGTTAACATTATTAATTATCATCCTCATCCTCATCATCATCTTTGCCATTATAGTTTTTTCGAAAATATGTGAACTAAAAGATAACATTTTATTTGTGTATCCAGAGGTACTAAGAATCATAGCAGTGCTAATAATGGTGGTAATAATTATAAAGTTTGGGTGATAACAAAAGTAATATTCGCACAAGGATGGTAAATAGTAATATAATAATAACGATAGTATTAATGCTGGTGGATGGTGATAATGATGATTATGATAATAATAATGCTTTAGATAATGGCGATGGCAATATACTGACATTATACTGTATTTTGCTTCTATCCACCTGGTTCTTCCATCATTCTCATATCCTTCTGCTTTTTGTGCAACCAGGAGGTATTCCATTCGTACGTCTAATGACATATTCAAGAAAATTTATCTGATGTTGATAATCAAGATAATAATCATAGTTAACCATGTAATATGTTGACGATTATCATTATGATGATGATCCTGAAAAAAAAAATATTATTATCATTTTTAATAATGTAGGCAATAACAAGGATACTTTAATAATGATAATAGAGATACTCATTGTACTACCAAAAATCAAAATCTTCTTGTGAACAAAATATCTAGATAAGTGAAAAAGAAAGACTGGATCAGTTTATGATATAAATGCGTATTTTATATCCAGGTTGAATTGCAGTTAATATATGTATCTATGCTAGTGAAGGGGGAAATGGAGTGTAAACTACAATCTGCTGCCCGGCAGGACGTGAAAGGATCCTTCACTACAAAGAAAAAGCTCTCGAGTAAAGACAACGAGGATGCTGCTGCGGACAAGGAGAAACGAGTGTCCAGGTACCCTCTAGAGAAAATCGAGTTCCGTAATAAAGGGAATGCTAATGTCCAGGTACCCTTCGTACACGCTCACCAGGGTACCGGTTTCCCAGCCATGTATGCCACTATAGGCTTCGCTTGCGTTTTATCTTTTATTTTTATTTTATTTATTTATTTATTTATTTATTAGGTTCTCGCTCCCGGGAAGATAAGATGAGCTCGATTTTTTTTTTTTTTACATTGCTTCTCATAGATCTCTTACATTTGCCGTGTTCTAGGTTTTCCCTTAAGATTTTTGTTATATATTGCTTCCATTGTATAATTTACATTACAACATTAATAGTAATAATGATAATTATGATACTGATAATGATGATGGTGATGATTTTAACCCACTCACGTCGGGTGTCCCATAATAACGCTATTATTATTGTTAGTAGTAGTAGTTTGATAATACTATAACATTATAACAAACTATCTGAGATTTCAGTTTATACTAGTTGTAGGAGGGAAAATTCGATTTTTTACTCGTTTTCCCAAAATTATTTTACACACCGTAATATAAGCGATCCCTCTATCAAATTCATTTCCAGTTTTGATATTATAACTTGGCATCATCTCTTTTCGTCCTATTCTGATTCATCAGAAAAAAAAAAAAATATTTTTTATTATTAACATTAATATGACAGCTGATTATGTTACAGGTATGTGTCTGTCTATTTTCACAAGCCTGAGTTCTCTGTCGACGATCACTTCCAGGTGGCGACGGCAGGAGTTTATGGCACGACTTTACAACGTGCTCTGATGAATAAATAGTTTTTTCAGCTTCAAAATACGGTTTATTCATAACTTTTTTCATTCTCGTTTTCCATTATCTCCTGTATCTGAGTACCAGCTGACATTTCTTACACCCTTAATTTTCATCATATCAGTAATACGCTATTGACACTTGTATTACGCTTGGAAATAGTAATATCGCTTGATCGCTGGATTCGTATTTTAATCTCTGAGCTCTCTCCAGATCCGTCTTGCTTATTCTACACTTATCTATACTCGAAGTTGAAGGTGCATGAACTTCTGACAGCATAGAGTCCTCTCATCAACTTGCACATCCTTGTACCGCCTTAACACCGACGACCCACGTTTTCTATGCCACCGTAAACATATACTTTTTGTTTTTTGTTTTCTTTTCCTTTGCTTTCTGTTTTCGTGTTTATGTTGATATTAGTGTTGAAAAAGTAGAGATTCTGTTATTATTTTTTTAAGAATGATACTACTACTACAACTACTGCGATTACTGCTACAAAAAAAATAATAAACAAATAATAATAATGATTATTATTATTATTACTATAATAATATACTACTGCTATTACTACTACTACTACTACTACTACTAGCAATAATAATGATAATAATAAGAATAGTAATAATAATGAGTTAATAATATGACCATGATAATGATGATGGTAATTATAATAATGGTAATGATGATGATGATAATGACTAATAGAAGTAGTAGTTGTAAAAAGTGGTAATGATGATATAAAAATAATGATAATGGCAAGAACACCAACAAAATCAAAAGCAGCAACATCAGTAATCATAGTAATACCAACCTAATAATGATGAACTCTAATAATGATAATGAAAAGTAATTTAATCACCAATGATAATGATAACAATTATTATAATTAACATTAGAATAGAAATAGTAATGATAATGATAGTGAACTCAATGATGATAATAATAATGATAATGACTATGATGACGACGATGGCGATGATGGTGATGATGGTGATGATGGTGATGATGATGACGATGACGAGATAATGATGATTATAGTGATGCTGATAAAAGAAATAATGATTATCTAAATGTTGAAGATGATAATGATAACAATGATAAATTGATATGACAATAATAGTAGCAATAATAATAATAACAATGATATTGATAAGGTTAATGCTAATGATGGTGATGTCAATGATACTGCTACTGATGATGACACCATTACTGCCACTACTACCAAAGATACTATCAATAATAGTTAATATGATGATTATTAGAAAGCTGTCTATGAACACTGTACAGTACTTTCACTGACCCATCGCGCAGGCAAACGGGGAAAAGGAACAAGGGGACACGGGGAGGTAGGTGTTGTCGCAGCTTTCTCGAGGAGGGAAAGGATATATATGAAGAGAAACGCGAGGAAGGATATTCACAACAACAGGACAGCAAGCGCCATGAGGAGCCTGGTAAGCTTTCCTTCTTGGGTCCGAGGCCGTGTTGGAAGGAGTTTTTGGAGTTCTGGTTATGTCTAGTTGGTGTGTTGCAGTTGCTGAAAGAGAGAGCGTTGATGTTTAGTGTTTGGGAAAAATAAACGTGGCTATACAAGGAGTCGGAGGGTTTTCGAATGCATCTTAAATTTATAATTATTTTTCTTTTTGCTTCAGATTCTGATTTCCGCTATTGCACTTGCGGCTTCTATGCCCAATGACTACGAATGGTCAGGGCCCAGAGAAGGAAGCTCCACTCGTGGTGCCGCTGGTGCTTCGAGAGCAACGGTCACTCAGGGAACTTCATCGGGGATAGCCTCTGTTCAAGGAACCATTTCCGGAACAGCCGCTCACCAAGGAACTTCGTCGGGAACTTCCTTTGGTCGTGGGACTGCATCCGGAGCGGCAGTCAGCCGCGGACTTTCTTCGGGAACAACCTTTGGCCTTGGAACCACGAGTCAGGGTCCTTGCGGAGGTGGACAGGTGCGCTACGTGGATGGAAGTGTGACGCTCGTCGTGTGAACCGTCGCGTCTTTCTCTACGACGTTCCCTCCAACGTGCAGACAAGCGGCCCTGTCAACATCCCCGATCCTCACGTCGAGACCAATATTGTGTTAATTCGGACTCCCGAAGGCGGTCTTGGACAACAACCTGTGGTCATTCCTCCACCCCGACAGAATCACGTGGTTTACATCCTGAATAAGCAAAACCGTGAAGGGCCAGGGGTGATCGAAGTACCTTCATCCGGCCCTTCAACCCCTGAGGTTTACTTCGTCAACTACGCCGAAGGAGAGAACCCAACCCTTCCAGGCGGGGTGGACCTCCAATCGGCTCTTCAAGCGGCCAGTCAAGGTGCAGCTCAAGCTGTAGGTTTAGTAGGACAGTCCTCATCGACTGTTGGTCAGAATGTAGGTTCGACAGGTTATTCTGGTGTTCAGAACTTCGGATCACGGATTCCATCCGGCTCCTTTAGTGGTCAAGTGACCGGGTTATCAGGTCAATCTGCGTCATTTCGTGATCAAGCGATCGGCTCCGAGTCGGCAGGTCAAACTACCCCTGACTTTGATCTTAGGGGATCAACACAGAATGTTGGATCAGCTGGACTTGCTGTCTCCACAAGTGGTAGGGCTGGAACCGCAGATTCGACAGGTCAGCCAATTCTTTCTAATGGCCAGGTCTCAGGGCCTGCAATTTCGTCTGGGTCCTCGAGCAGCCAAGTGATCGAGTTAACAGGTCAGTTTGCTTCACTTGACGACCAGGCGATTGGCTCAGCAGGTCGCTCTGCCTTCTCCGGTGCCAAGATTCCTGGAGCAGTGAGTCCGGCTTCCTCTACTAGAGGTTCATCCGTTGCAAGTCAACCCTCTGGTCTGTACACATAACCATAAATTCCAGGGAGTTGCAGCCTCTATAATAAATCAAAATAATGTTACAATAATTTTGCACATATCATTATGACAGTTGTTGGAATATCTTTATTTTTTATTGTTTGTATATTTACTTGATGTTTGTTGTTCGTATATTGTTTTCATAATGTACATGTTTCTAAATAAATCTTATGAAAAATATCCTTGACATTGATTTTAGACTTTAAACATATATTTGTGTGTGTGTGTGTATGAGTGTGTGTGTGTGTGTGTGTGTGTGTGTGTGTGTGTGTGTGTGTTGTGTGTGTGTGTGTGTGTTGGTGGAGTGGGTGTGTAGACACAAATAAGTATGCATATATATATATATATATATATATATATATATATATATATATATTATATATATATATATATATATATATATATATATATAATATATATATATAATATATATATATATATATATATATATATATATATATATATATATATATATATATATATATATATATATATATATGTATATATAAATAAATAAGTATATGTATGTGTATATTTATGCGTGTGTGTGTGTGTTTGCATACGTTTGTTTGTTTGTATGTACATAAACACACACATGCGTGTGTATTTGTAATAAAGTAAAATATCCCTATAAGTGTTAGCCATGATAACAATACTTGGCTGACATAATGTCCACGGATCCGTGGTTGGCCAGATATACGGATAGGGTGAATCACATGAATTGTAATTATTTTAATGATTCTGTTGTTGAGTGTCTTTTCGCCTTTTTCTGCTGACTGTGTAATATTTTAATAAACTAATTAAACACACGCAATCACAATTATCCACCAACCCACACCGACATACACACGCACATACTCTCTCTCTCTCTCTCTCTCTCTCTCTCTCTCTCTCTCTCTCTCTCTCTCTCTCTCTCTCTCTCTCTCTCTCTCTCTCTCTCTCTCTCTCTCTTCCCTCCCTCCCTCCCTCCCTCCTCCTCCCTCCCTCCTCTCTCCTCCTCCTCTCTCCCTCTCTCCCTCTTTCCCTCTTTCCCTCTTTCCCTCTCTCCCTCTCCCTCCCTCCCTCCCTCCCTCCCTCCCCCTCTCTCTTCCCTCTTTCCCTCTTGCCCCTCTCCCCCTCCCCCCACCCTCCCCCCACCCACACCCACGCACACTGTGTACAGATGCCACAAGAAATAATTTGTTGGAGCAACTATTGAACGGGATATACGAGCTAAGTCTTTGATGAGAAGAAGTAATGAATCTCAGACAGGATTCATGTTATTATATTTTACGACGACGTTACTATAAGATTTTACGGACAGTAATCATTTTTTGTATGAGATGCGAGTGGGGTGAAGTGCGTGTCTATAATTATTGATTGATTACATA